TTCAAGTACCAACTGGCACTGCAACTTGAAACAATAACTTAGCGCAGCAAGGAAAAACGAAGATGTTCCAGTACTTCCTATGCGACAGCAGAGCAAGGCACCCGGCCAGCACTGCCCAGTGGGTCACACGGTAATGAGGAAGACTGAGGGAGGTGATCCGTGGGCTGAGTAATTCCCTACATAATTCCCTGAGGTGAACAACCCTCCAGGTGAGTGATTCTAAGGGTGATTCTGCAGGGTGAAAGTGTTCCACACTCAAGTCTAACATGGCAGCCAGATGCCACTGAAGAGGGCTGAGACGTAACTAAACCGAAATTTAAGTTTACTTAAGGCCTCTTAATTTTTTTTTAATCAGTTATATTTGGTTTGGCGGGGGGCGGGGGGTGCTCAGGGGATCGTGCAGTGCCAGGTTCAAATACGGGCCACACATGCAAAGCACACACACACATACACACACACACACACACACACACACACACACACACACAGCCCTCTGAGCTATCCAGCTCTTTTTCATTTTAATGTTTACTATTCACATATTCCTAGCGACGTTCTCACTCTGCAATGCAAGAAGAATCTCATGACCGGGGCTGGAGCGATAGCACAGCGGGTAGGGCGTTTGCCTTGCACGCGGCCGACGTGGGTTCGATTCCCAGCATCCCATATGGTCCCCTGAGCACTGCCAGGAGTAACTCCTGAGTGCAGAGCCAGGAGGAACTCCTGTGCATCGCCAGGTGTGACCCAAAAAGCAAAAAAAAGAAGAATCTCATGACCATTTGCCCCTATATATGAATGCTTATTTTATTGTTTGAAATAAACATATATATATATATATGCTCATCAAGAAGAAAGAGGGGCTGAAGTGATAGTATAGCAGGACTAACTTTCACCCTTTTCACGTGCCAACCTGGGTTCAATCTGCAGCAACCCCTATGGTCTCCAAGCCCACCGGGAGTGATCCCTGAGCGCAGAGCCAGGCGTGGATCTCAGCCAGGATCCAGCCAGGATTTCAGCCAGATCACTGAGCTCAGTGCCCTGAGCACTGCCTGATGGGGCAAAAAAAAAAAAAAAGACAAAACAAAAAAAGGAGGAGAGAGTGGGACTGGAGAGATGGCACAGCAGGTAGGGCGTTTGCCTTGCATACGGCTGACCCAGGTTCGATTCCCAGAATCCCATATGGTCCCCCGAGCACCCCCAGGAGTAACTCCTGAGTGCAGAGCTAGGAGTAACCCCTGTGCATTGCCGGGTGTGACCCAAAAAGAAAAAAATTAAAAAAGGAGGAGAGAAGGGATACACTTCAGGACATCCACAACAGAATACTGTCCAGAAGGTGAGAAAGAGGTGAATCCACGTGTCGGAAACCAAGCAGCTAAGGCCTGAAAACATGTAGGGTGAGCGTGACCCCTCTTCCCAAACCCCAAGCCCAGGAGAGACAAACATTAGAGGTCCGTAAAGAGATGAAGAGAAACAAAACAACGATGAGTACAAGATACAAGATGATCATGGCCAAGGGGCAACGGCACTGGAAGGAACAATCTAGAAAGGGCTCAGCTGATGGTCTGCGTTGGCCCTTGGACTGTTTCTTAACACATGTTACACATTTTATGTCATGCCTAGAAATATAATAAATGAAAGCCAGGGGTGTTACTGAGGCAGCTCGTCCCCGCACAGCCCGGGACATTCTCTAGAGGGAGGACCGGGCATTGTGGCAGCTGCTAAGAACCTACCGCACTCCACCCAGCGCTGAGAAAACCAGGATTCCTGCAGGCAAAACTTACTAACTTTGCTTTCTGGGTTATACTGATCAAGATTCTTCATGCAGCGCCTGCGAGCTATTATAGGAGTTAAGACGCTTGCATGTGGTCCACCATGGTTTGATCCCTGGTGCCACCAGGAGTGAGCCCTGAGCACAGAGCCGGGAGGAAGACCCCAACAACGCAAAGGAAAAAAAAATTGCCTCCTTCCTTCTTTTTCAGCGGCTCCTGCTTTCAGACGTGGCCATAATTAGTGGCATTTCTCGGTATCTCCAGCAAACAGTGGCGCTAAGCTCCTCGTAAAGGAAGGACTGCACCCTCCTGTTCATTTCTCTTCCTTGGAGGCTGGAATTGAACCTAACACCCAAAGGCACTAATACACAGCAGATGAAAAAGGAAAAGGATAGCGCTGACAATGACTGCAAGCCTGCTAACGTGCCCAGTTCTGGAATAAAATCTTCTAGCCTATCCTTAAGGCCTAGCCGGTCCAAGTGATTAGACCAAGAACATGCAAAAAATAAATAAATAGTTGAACAGACAGGAAGTGGCAAACACAGGGTCCAAATCTCATCTACCGGGGGAGTCCAGAATCTGTGCTCTCCAAACGCGACCCCCTGCCACCTCTCAAATACAAAGCCAAGCTAGGCCCCTTCGCCACCAAAAGCAGAAGTGGCAAAGGCTGCACTCGGCGAGCTCCTGTTGGCTCCATCAGTGGGGATATTTATAGGTGTCTGCACCTATGCTAGCCAGAAAAGGGGTGATGCAATCTTAGGAGTTAGCCGAACCTTCCCCACAGCCACCCAGTCTCGGAATGAAGCTGGCTCGTTCCCAGGGTCACACAGTTCCAGATGCCTGCCACCAGCAAGGACGTTTCTACCTGCAGTAAAAGTCTCTGGGGGGGTGAGGGGGAATTCTATCATCAAAAGAATTTTTCACTGAGAGCTTTAAAAGATCACTTGATCCAACCCTAGGTAGGAGGCTTACAATCACTTCCAGTCACGTTCTATTTTATCTTCTTTTTTATTTGGGGAGAGTTTGGGGCTAACTCGGGAATGCTCAGGGGCCACGCCTGGCTCTATGTGTGGGATTCGCTCTCGTGCACTGGGACCACACTAAGTCCGGGGAACCAACCCAGACCTCCTGCGTGCCCAGCCTGCGCTCAGCCCATGGGGCCAGCTCCAGGCACCTCAATTCTTTCTTAGTGGCAGCTAAGGCTTTTCCAAGCCAAGTAACTGGTCCTTTGAGAAGCCGAGCGGTAACCCGAAGCTAGATCTGTTACCCAAGGGCTCACCTTATTCCTTCCAGCAGACCACAGCAGTAAACCATCCTGGGTCTGTTTAGGCACGGGACACTAGCCTAAAGTCACCACACAAAGTCTCTTTTTCAATCCTTTTATCAACGCTGCCAATCAGATACGATCTCAAGTATGGGAAGAGGAAACTTGGGTTCTGAGAAATTAAGCAGCTCACCACAGGTCACCCAGTTGGCATCTGGCCTCTGCCCATAAAAGAAACCAAACAGAACGCAGGAGGCTACAAAGTAACTTTCATGGTCTTGAAGGAAGAAGCGGACATCTCTAAGCTCTAATGCCCAGAGCCCCCAAACCTTGCATCCAGCCATAAACTGGAATTTGGGGCAGTCTCCTAAGAAGGAGGCGGCTGCTTTGAAAGGGACCTGGAGACCTTGTTTCTGTCCGGTGCCCCTCCCCCTTTCTATAAGAGACCCTCTGGGAATATCCTGGGGCACACGCAGAGAACCACGGGCCCCCTCACACAAAAATAGCACCTTACAACACTCCTAGCACACACAGTAAATACATCATTAGATTCAGGGGCAAGGGAGCTGGTCTGGCAGGTAAGGCGCTTGGCTTGTGCCCTGCAAGATTCCATCCCTGACATCATTTATCATACCCTAAGCACCGCCCAAAGCGAGCCCTGAACACAGAGCCTGGAGTAAATTCTGAACTCGGCCAGATGTGACCCCCAAACCACACAACTAAATAATAAAAGAAAAAGACTTTTGGGGCTGGAGCAATAGCACAGCGGGGAGGGTGTTTGCCTTGCATGCGGCTGACCCGGGTTCAAATCCCAGCATCCCACAGGGTCCACCGAGCACCGCCAGGAGTCATTCCTGAGTGCTGAGCCCAGAGGAAGCCCTGAGCATCACCGGGTGTGACCCAAAAAGCAAAACAAAAAAAAAAAGAAAAGAAAAGGACTTTTATCTATTCTATTCCAGTGAAAATGATAAAATTACAATAATCCAGCTGTGTCTGCTTCATTTTTCCTGACACCAGATACATCAGCTTATTTTGTGACAAAATGTCCTGAAGACTTTCTGATATTTTTTTTCCTTCTCTCCATCGCCTCTTTTGAGGCAAAGCAAGATGAAACTATCTCAACAGCATGCAAAGAACCACCACCACCACCACCGCCGCCACTGCCTTGCATCATGACCAGTCACTTGGAGGGTATCAGAGCGTCATGACAGGTAGTCTACTACATTGCCTACACTGCCAACGTGCTAGGGAGAAAGTCCCAGGTGATGCGGGGAATATCACTTTTGCTCCTGAAGGTCAAAAACCTTCTCTTCCTCCACCAGTGAGGATGCACGGCCCTTTGGAGGCAGAAGAGATGTTTTCAACTGCTCTGCCCATCTTCCGAGAGGCGAGTCTGCCTGTCCCCTGCAAAGAACCGCTCGGGCCGGGCTGGCCGCACACAGCCTGGGGACCGCTTTGCAACATTGTTTCAGCAAAAACAAATACCTGACCGCTCTCTGAGCAAACACCACCGCAAGCAGCCGGGGCTGGCGCGCTGGGGTTCTTTCCCCAGGCCCCAAGCGGGGTGCTGCCAAGATCTCAAAGCTCTGGGCTTGACACTTTTTCCAGATGGTTCCAGACTCCGCAGGGTCAGCCCCCGGGATGCTGTTTAATGCATCCAAAGTGGGGGCGCGGGTGTAGGGCCCCCGGAAAGCGGGTGTCTCGGCCGCTGCGCAGACAGGCCGGCGCCGCCCCCGTGCACTGGGCGAAGGGGGTGTCCCTCGGCGCCCCCCGCCCGTGCCCAAAGGGTCCCCGGGGGTCCCCGCAGCCCCCGGCCCGCCCGCCGCCCCGCCCGGCCCGGCCCGGTTCCCCGGGGCCCCCGCGCGCGCCCCGACCCGCGCCCCCGCCGGCGCGCACACACGGGCGCCCCGGGACCCCCGCGGCCCGCCCGCGCCCGGCCCGGCCCGGCCCCCCGCCCGGCCCGCACGCACCTGCGCCGCGCCGAGCTCGCGGGACCGTGCAGAGCCGCGGCCGCGTCACAATAACGAGGAAGTTCCCGCACGGCCCGCGGGCGCCGGCGCCGTGACTGACGCCCCGCCCAGCCAGTGGGCGCGCGCCGCCCGCCAGATCCACCAATGGGAGCGCCGGGGGGGCGGGGCGAGGGGGACGGGGAGGCGGGGGCGGCCCGGGGGACGGGGCCGGGGCTGGGGGTGACCAGGGCCCGGCCAGCGGGGACGGGGCCGGGGGTGGCCAGGGCCGGACCGGGGGACGGGAGTGACCAGGGCACGGGGGTGATCGGGGCACGGGCCGGAGGCTGGACGGGGGACTGGGGTGACCAGGGGACGGGCGGGGGGACAGGGGACGGGAGTGACCAGGGGACGGGCCGGGGGACAGGGGACGGGGGTGACCAGAGCACGGGGATGACCAGGGACCGGCCGAGGGACGGGGAACGGGAGTGACCAGGGGACGGGCCGGGGGACAGGGGACGGGAGTGACCAGGGGACGGGGATGACCAGGGACCGGCCGAGGGACGGGAACGGGAGTGACCAGGGGACGGGCCGGGGGACGGGACGGGGGTGACCAGGGCGCGGGGCTGACCCGGGGCCGGACGGGGAACGGGGGTGACCAGAGGCCGGGGAGGAGGAGCCGGGGGCGGCCGGGGGTCTGCGCCGGGCTCTGCAGTCAGTCCCCCGGCTCGGGGGGCTCGGAGCGGGTCCCCCAGGCCCCGGGCGGGCGGGACAGGGCGGGCGCTGCCCCCCAGAGGTGCTCGGGCCCCGCGACCCCGCCTCGGAACCGCCCGCCGTGGTGCTCCGCGAGCAGTGCTCCCTGGGAGCGGGCCGAGCGGGGTTCGGGGTAGCGGATGGTACCGGTGAGGCCCGGGCCCTTGGGAGGCCAGGCCAGGCCGGGAAAGTCACCCCCAACCCCCAGGGCCGGCCTCGAGGGGCGCCGTGTCCAGGTGCGGCCCGGCTGGCTGGTCGGCAGAAGAGAGGGACAGACCCTCTGGCCCGGGCAGGGCCGGCTGGCACCCCGGGGTCGGCTCCCAGCACCTGGCCCGGACTCAGGCTCAGATGAAATTTCATCTCCAGGGAAGGCGGGGCCGGGCGGCCGAGGGCACGGCGGTCTGAGTGACCAGCTGGGGTGGCTGGAGTTTGCTTCCCGGGGTCCCCAGGAGGAGGGTCAGGGCCCACGGGAGCCCAGCCCACCCGGACTGTCCCCACGCAGCCCTGCTGGCCTGGCCCTCGGTCACCCCAGCAACGCCCAATGCAAGATCAGCTCTTTGTCAGGCTACCAAGAGGTCATGGGTGATTCTTTCTTACCATTTCTTTTTTTTTTTTCCGCCTCTCTTAATTTTCCATATATTTCCGATTAAACGTACTCCATACTCCAAGCCCTGTAAATACTCTGACAGGCAAAACAGCGCAGCCCCTGTTGCCTTGAAAAGATAAATATTTACCCGGTAATTATGCCCAGGGATGTATAGTTACTAACCATGGCACATTTTGTGATGGAAAAAAAAAAAGTGTGTATTGAAAGTAAACGATTTGGAGCTGGAGAGATCGTAAAGCAGGTAGGGTGGCAGCTTTTTCATGTAGTTGCTCCGGATGCCGTCCTGGGCATCCCATAGGGTCCCCCCAAGTACGACCAGGAGTGATTCCTGAGTGCGAAGAACTCCCAGGGGTAAACCGCGAGCATTGCTAGGTGTGACCCCAAAACAAAAGAGAACTCTTCCGTAATCTCTCTCTCTCTCTCTCTCACTCTCTCTCTCTCCCCCCCCTTCTCTATTACATAAACATTGTTCCACTTTTACTGTCCCATATAATTCCAATGTTCCGCTCTGCGTTTTCCTTCTTGCTCGATGGTTTCCGGTGCCGTACCCTCTTCACTCTCACTGTTGTAGCCTTTGACTTCTGCGGTTTGGCTGCTGGGACCCTCCACTGTGCCTTTCTAGCTCAGCTCCTGTGCTCGCCAGCTCTGTGACCTGCTTGGTCGCCTTTCATGCTTCCTCAGTTCCCGCTGAAATGCTCTTCCAGCGAGCGGTGTCATCATTTCTCCTGGTGCTCCCCAGGACTGTTGTTTTGAAGTCCCCCCCAGGAGCTGCCTACCTTGTTGCGCTAGTTAGGAATCTTCCCAGGTATTAAACCTGAACCACCATATGGATAAATTCCTCTGTCTTGGCGAAAGACGCAGACTGGGGCCAAAGGCCTGTTTCTAAACGGCCTGGGCTCTGGTTGGGGTTTTCTGGTCACGGGAGTCTGTCAAACAGACCTGAGTGACGACTTGTGATTGCAAGTTCCTGGCACAGGTGGTGGCACGGGGTAGGCTGGGTAGTGACCAGGACAATTGCAGCTAGTAGTGCCAGACTCTGCCTCTCGAACCTAGACAGCCACCAGGGAATTCACGTGGGGTGGGTCTGAAAAGGAGGCCAGGGCCAAGGCAGCACACACCCGGGGTCTGGGAGGGAGCAGAGAACACAGCTGATGGGCCAGCAAGTGTCACTGCGGGCCTCCTCGGAGCCCCTGGCAAGCCAGCCAGTCAGGTAGGACTGCAGGGTGTCTGTGGGCCTCGAGGGTGTGGCCGGCTTGCTAGCAATCAGAGGGAAACAATGAGCCTAAGTCTGTTTGTCTGCCAAGATGGGCCCTCATTAGCTGTCTCTCCAGTCCCAGGGATGAAACTCAAGCCGTGGGCAAGCTCTCCTCAGGACCCCTGAGAAGGAAAGTGGCATCCACTGTCCATGGCTTCCGGGAGGCCCAGAGGTCACCAGGCAGGGCTGCCACGGTCCCCGCGATCCTGCCTTCTGCAGCTCAGCTCAGGTTTATGCCTTCCAGTTCCTTGCCTCCTGGTGTGGTGGAACAGGACAAGGCAGAGCCCCCGGGGGCCAGAGGGCTGGCACGCCCCGTCCGACTCCCAGAAAAGTCGGAAGGGCTTTGCAGATTCCCGCCTGTCGTGCCCCGTGAGCTAGCTTCTTTCTCGGCGCCTGTGTCTCCGTCTGCTCCCAGCTTGGATGTAGTCACTTTGTCTCTCGGTACGGAAGCATGTCTTCCCATGTCAGTCCGTCTCAGTGTAATGAAACAGAACTTCAGGATATGATTAGCAGGATGCACATACAGACTGTCCCTCGTTAGCCCTCTTTGCCTGGGCAAAACATGATTCTTAACATTTTTTTATGATCCTTTAAAGCCTCTGCTGAAAATTATACATTGCTGCGTGAAGGATGTTGACACTGACTATGCCTCAAAAAAATGGATTTGGATAAATGGATTTGGATTGATTTGTTGTTGTTGTTGTTTTGTGGGGAATTACTAGGCAGGGGTAGGGGTCTCTGGCCTCTGGGACTACTTCTGCCTCAGGGGTGTCCCTCGCTGGCCTCAGGAATGGTGCAGTGCTGGGAATTGAAGCTCAGTTTCCTGCTTGCAAATCTTGTGTTCGAAGCTTTGAGCTCTTGGGGGCTGAAGCGATAGCGCAGCCGGGAGAGCGTTTGCCTTACACGCGGCTGACCTGGGTTCGATCCCTGGCATCCCATATGGTCTCCTGAGCACCACCAGGAGTAATTCCTGAGTGCATGAGCCAGGAGTAACCTCTGTGCATCGCTGAGTGTGACCCAAAAAGAAAAGGAAAAAAAGTTTTGAGCTCTTTCTCCAGTCCCAGCAAGTTCTTTTTTTTTTTGGGGGGGGGGGTGGCATTCAACTATCCATTATCCACATATCATCCAAATTATTCTTTATCTTAAACTTTTTCCACTTGCAGCCCCTTTTCACCCGAGAAGCACAGCTTAGGTGAGCAATGCATCTTGGATTCAATATGCAACTGATTTTTAATCAATTGTTGATCGTTTTGTGCTTTTAAAACATTTTACCATTGTCAAATTTTTCATAACCCCCACATCTAGTTAACTGGCCTCATGTGGGATTATGAACAGTTATTTCAAAAGCTAGGGTCTAAATTAGTCTTGTCCATCTGGAAAACAACATGAGTAACTCGGGAAAGGATCACTTCATGAAACAGAAGTAGTTACAATTCCAACCCAAAATTCAGCACTCCAGTGTCAAACACTTGGTTAAAATGTTATTAATACACCAGCCATGCAAAGTAAATATAAATTGTCTCCAGGAGTAACATTCAGATAACTTTGGATACAATGTTAAGAGCATCACTGGCTTCGTTTTTTTCTATCTCAGGATACATCAATGTCTTCACTATACGCCTTTCACTCAACCACTGACCATTTCTAAGAATCTTATCTACATTCAAAATGGCCATAATATCTGGCCATTCTCTCATAAGAGGTACTTTTTCCTGACGTGACCTCATCTCTAAATGTGCAGTGTGAGAGTAATGTCTTGCTCCTTCCTGAAGCCCTATAAGTGAAGACTCACATAAGATAAGTTTGACTTGGGGTGCGCTCAGTGGAACCCGTGCAAAATTTATAAAATTGAACTCATCTTTCTCCCATAAAGGTAGGATTTTTGGGGGCTGGAGCGATAGCACAGCAGGTAGGGCATTTGCTTTGCACATGGCCAGCCCAGGTTCGATACCCAGCATCCCATATGGTCCCCTGAGCACCGCCAGGAGTAATTCCTGAGTGCAGAGCCAGGAGTAATCCCTGTGCATCGCTGGGTGTGACCCAAAAAGCTAAAAAAAAAAAAAGGATTCTCTAGGGGCTAGAACAATAGTACAGGGGTAAGGTGTTTTTTCCTAGCACGTGGCCGACCCAGGTTCGATTCCTACCATCCCATATAGTCCCCTGAGCACCGCCAGGAGTAATTCCTGAGTACAGAGCCAGGAGTAACCCCTTAGCATCACTGGGTGTGACCCAAAAAGCTAAAAAAAAAAAAAAAGGATTCTCTAGAACAACAGCACAGGGGTAAGGTGTTTTTTCCTAGCACGTGGCTGACCAGGGTTCGATCCCTGGCCCCCCATATGGAAACCCAAGACCCTCTAGGAGCGAACCCTGAGAGCAGAGCCAGCAGCAAGCCTTGAGCACTCCATGGTATGACTCAAAACAAACATGATTCTTTTGCCCTCAATGATTCAGCATTCAGGACTCTGAAACACCTTGAATCTTGATTTTTCTCTTCCTACTCTGTCACTGA